ATTATGATATTTTCATAAGATTAGTACTTATCTTATATTTAAACATATTTATCAGCTGGGTTTATAAACTTCAAATATGGATTTTTAATCAATTATACCTGTATAATATAAATTTTGAAATAAGAAATATGAGATAAATACTTTGAAAAACAGTAAAGATACCTCTTAAGTATTGTTTTTTCTGTTTATGTTTTCCAAATTAAAAATCAAAAAAATTTTACATTCATTATTTACAAGACATATTAAGAATGTATATTTTAAAATATGTTCATTTAATGATGAATAATTTTAAAAAGTTCGTTTAAAAAAAAACATACTTTAAAAAAAATATGTCAACTCTCGCGACTTCAATGCTCGAGTTCTATAAGATTACTAGAAGATTTTCTTGATTGTCTTCCAAGCTTTTGGAATTAGTAAGCTGATCCGGATATTGATAGTTAAAAAAACATAATATTAAACACCTGAATAGCACTTTTCAAAGCATAAGTTCTTAAATATAATGTTATATATATATATATATATATATATATGTGTGTGTGTGTTTTTTTTTAAAATAACAAATTAAAAAAAATTATATTCATCTTGCTACAATTTCAAAAGAACAAGGCTACCACTCCTTTCTTTGTCATCACATTTTTATTTAATAAAATTAAGAGTAAACCATAAATTTGGTCCTTATGATTTTTTGAAAATTACAATTTTCATCCCTATAATTTAAAAATAATAAGATGATTATCATAATTTATACGTTTAAATTTGATTCTTGCCTTTAATGACTTATAAAAATCTTGTTACATATGAGGAATTTTCATTTTTATTGGTTTTTTATCCTTCTCCAGATAAAAAACCAAATGAACCACAATCATAAAATAAATTTTAATTGGACAAAAGAAAAAGAATCGATAAATGAACAAAAATGTCCCTCATTTAATGGAACTTTTTAACGGTCGTTAGAGAAAAATAGACTAAACCTCAGACGTTTTTACAAACATTGATAGCCATCTTATATTTTAAAACTGTAAAGATAAAAAGTGTTATTTTCAATAAACTATAACCCAAATTTGTAGAACTTTTTTTTCTTTTTAGTTAAACTTTAGGGGGTGTTTTTCTACAAAAGTTATTATCAACTTATTATAAGTTAGAAGGGTTTAACTTCTTCAAAAACTTCTTATTACCGGTATAAACTGTTTATCCAAACACTTAAAAGTATTTATTACCGATGTCATACTGGAATAAATCAATAAATTGTTTTTATAAGCAATCTTAAACACCCCTTATACTACAAGGTTGATGCATATCCATGTTAAAAAATGTGGCACGTCACTAGATGCAATTTTTTTAGTTTTGTTTTTAACATGATAAATAATGTTTTTAATCATGAAACAAGAAAGAGGTATCGAGAATCAAGGATTAAAGGGTATTGAACTGATTTTATAAACTTAGTCCAGATATATATATTATCGAAATTAAATATGATAAACAAAGTTAGTAAATCTATAACTCTCACTATTTGGTTATAGTTTTTATTTAGAAGAGCAAAAATAATTAAAATTATAAATTTTCACTTTAAATTTTAAACACATCAGTAGAATGCAAAAACTAAATGGTTTGGCCTGTGGCATTTTATCTGTCTTTTACGTTTTTATTTCAGATTTATCAACATGTTATAGCTGAATGATTTAAACAGTTAAACCAATAATTATGGCTTAACACTTTGCGTGTTTTATGACTTTATCTGTTCTCATGCTTTATGTCCAAACAAAAATTATTAGAAATTACCGATGATATTAATTTCGTTTATAAGGTTATTTTAGGTCATTTTTTAATGCATATTTTATACATTTGATCAATAATATATATATATTCTTTTTATGAAATTACATATCTAATAGAAATATTATTTTTTACATTGAGAAATTTAATACTAAAAGAAACCGTTGATTTGATTGGGTTGATGACATTTGAACAATCCAACCCAGTGTTTACGGTTTGAAAAATCTTAACCCAACCCAACCCGTACGGGTTGGTCGGGTTGATACTTTGATACATTAAAATATTCTTCTAATCTTGAATATGTTATTTTTCTACTCATAATTTCTTTTCATCATCAACCATTTGATACAACTTATCCATACTTCTTACGTATATCACATTCAATTAATTTCCTCAATTCACATATATATGTTCATAGTTACTGAACATATATACGAATGCGTTATATAGAGGTTGAATAGATTGAAAATATGTGTATATGAAGGGCATGCGTGATAGTGTAACTGTCTAATGTATATATTAATAGAAATTTAACGATCATATTAAATTCAAGAAATAAAAGGATATCGGGTTGGGTTGGGTTCAAATAATATTAACCCAATACCTACAGTTTGAAAATTTTACAGCTCGATTAGACATCGGGTTGCGTTATTTCCCGTTGGGTTGATTGGGTTTTTAATTACCCCTACCTGTGTCTAGTCCTCTTCATGATCACCATCACTCTGTATCCTCACTCTAGCCCCATAAGGTAAGAATCAAACTTGGGACTTCTCATAAGGTAAGCTTGAATCCAACTTTCTATACCATCACAACTTTATTAGATTTTATCATAACTTTGGTTTTAAAATATTTCAGGACATTCTTAAAAAGTAAGTGGATACATTTTTTTTCTCTCGCAATAAGTGAGCGGTAGCACGAGACTTCTCTCGACCCTTAGTAGATATGATACTCTTCATCGGTGGAGATAAACAGAGGTTTGATGGCTAGTCGTGGGTGGTTTCATGAAGTTTGATGGCTGGTAGTCAGATGAAGTTTAGTGGTAGGTGTTGTGTGTAGTATGTGTGTTTGTTTTGTATGTAGGTGTGCTCTATTTGTGTGCCTAAAATAGGTGACGGTTGCTGGTTTGGACGGCTGTGAAACGTTGATGTTGGGAACCGAAAGTCCTCTATGTGTGTATGTGTGTATATATATATATATATATATAATATAATAAATGATGTTTTCTTTTGACCCTCTAAGTTTGTATGTATACATTTTGGCTAATTTAAAAAAAATGTTAAAAATAGAAAAAATGATAAAAAGACCACTTTGTCCTTTTTTTGACCGACCTAGCAAACGGCCGTTTGGTCCAAGGATGAAATACATGAAAGAATTGTACCACCAAATGCTCACGTAATAAATGAAATCTAAGAACTTATTTCGTAGAAGAATACATACCATATGGACCAAATTCGTAATATACTAAATACAATATTATTTGATGCCCGTGCGACAAAGAAAAGAAAAAAAGGACGTGCGGTTAACGACGTCTTTTGACGGCGTCAAAGAATATACGGAAAAGTAGCTAAAGCTATCTGGTCAAATTCTACCTACAAACCAAACACGCATTAACTACTTGTACCATCTTCTGCAAGTGTTGTAATCTGCTTTTGTCCTAATCACCCAGTAGAATTTAGCTACCTATATTTGCTGAGCTAAACGAGTAGCACGCAGCGACATTAACGGTTTCGAGATTCGAGACGCCATTGGAATTTCGAGCTTCATTCTGTGATCCTGTTGCTGACAGACATCACGTCAATCTCCATTTCTGTTTTTACTTTTCTTGTAGAACTTAAATGAACAGATTTGGTTCCTGTTCGTGACAGATCGGAAGCTTATTAACTTGGTATGCGTTTTCCCTATTTTGCTATGATAATCTGCTTTGAATTGTGTCGATCTTTTCAAGGATTGTTGTTTCGGTTCTTGGTTTGGCTGATTTGTGTTATTTTTCAGTTTTTAATCGACTTCTTGTTTTGTGTTATGGTTTTTTTTTGGCTGATCTTGTAAATATGAGCTTCGATTAGCTTTCGTTTTTAGGGTTTGATTGTCTCCTCGTAGTTGACTTGTGCCAACTGGGCCTGAAGTTGAAGAATTTCATACAGAGTACTTGATTTGTTTATTTTTTTGGATGTCTTTTTATTTTTCTCTTTTGCATATTTTCTAGATACCGTGTAAATGCGATATTTGAATCAATATGCTTTTCTTGAAGGATTAAGTTTTTAGGGTTTGAATTGTCTTCATTAGTAAACTAACCCTAGGCTACAAAAAAGGGGCCCGATACTTCAACTCGAGGAGCGACCTATTGGTTTACCAAACCCCCACTAGGCGTGTGTTGTGTGGACCTGAAGTTGAAGAAATTTACAGTCTCTTCTTGATCATTTTCTTTTTTGCACATTTTCACGTAAAATGACGTGAAGATTTTGGAAATTTATTTGTAATATTCTTTTTCAGAAAGTTACATGTGTTAGTGTGTCGGTTACATTCCAACCTTCAAATTGGAGCTCATTTTAGTTCAAATTTGAACCCATCTTGTTCGATTTAAGCCATGGAATTGTAGTTTATAAAATACCCTTTGTATTCCCTTTTGAATGTGAGCAGCTACAGTCCTTTTCCCCCTTTATGGTAATCTCTTGCTTTGTACATTGGTTTCTACCAAGTTGTCTTAGCCACGGAAATTGTCCTTAGCCACTGGGGCCGGTTAAGACTTTTGATGCCCTGCACGAAAATAATAAAAAATGCCCCTAACCCTATTTTTGTAAGCCAATGAAACAATGAAACATGCAATTTTTTAAAAAGTTTAAAACCTATTCAAGCTAAGTGTTTAAACCCCTTGTTGATTTTTTCTATTAACCTGGATATCCAACCCGTTATGCGAGCTGACTAATCCCAGGGCGACCATCTGCTTTGTAGATAGCCTGGAGTCACCGCATTTGAACCTCCGTGGCCACAAGGGGATTTTTATTCCTCCTTGCATTTGAACCTGGGACCTCCTGGTACTTTTGACCTTTGGAGCCAAGCTCAAACCAATCAGACACCACCCTTGTGGTTATGTTGATTTTTATTAATTATAATAAAAAAATACAATAGAGAGGGGACATAAAAACCAAAACCCCGAATACAAAATATAGAATGATAAAAGGATAAATCCTGGATTAAGATCGTGTTTCCTTCTTTTCTAGTTTTCCCTTTTCCAAATTGAAATTAGCAAAATAGAAATTTTATTTCAATATATGAGACTTAAAAGACAAGGAAAACTATAATTGCTTTTTAACTAAAATAGTAAATTACATCCAAATTATTGTCATAATAAGCAAAAAGTAAAACTCAAAAGTTACATGTCTAACGACTAAAGGCTAAGGGCCTATCTGTTAGCAGCTTAATGGAACAAATAGCTTATTCGCTCAACTATGCATGATTGTTTCATGGTGGCTTAATGATATAGAAAGTGATCATTCCAGTAAGCTTCCAGGGGAGCTTTATATAGAAAGCAAAGTTTTTTTTTTCCAAACATGTCCCTTCCAACTAAAAAAACGCTCCTTACATCTGCGAAAAAACTCTCTCAAACAAAAACTTTTCCAACTTATACAAACAGATTAATTATACAGACAACTTTATTCATATAGAACTTAATAATAAACCAATCAAAAAGGCCCTTAAATCTAATGCGGTAATGCCAAACCTCAAATTAAACAAAAGTCAAAAGAACAATAATAAATTGTAAATTTCATACTCTATGTTACTATGCATTGCAAAGAACAAGTGTCCAATAATTAAGACAATATCACAATATTTTGTTAACGTGTGCAGTGTGCTCCAGCTATGTTGATACAATGATGTGCTCATGTGCATTGAAAATTTCAATTCTCATATATTTCAATATGCAAGAGGAAGACTCATCAAAATGACAAAAGCCCTTTAGCCTTAGCCTAGTAGGTCAGTAACCCACATGACCCCATGACCCAACTTTATAATAATCGGTTAGAAATTTAGATTTTTCTTGCACAAAGTTTTAACGATTCATAAATCATAATATGACTCACACAACAACTCAGTAAGTTTAGTCAGCAGTAGAAATCAGTCATTCGAGATTTCCATCTTTGATTTATTGAATCTAATTTCATGACCGTTAATCGGTCTGAAAGAGAACTCCATACCTTGAAAATCGAAATAGTTGAACTTTGAAGAACAATAGAAATTAAATTGAGTTGTTGGAATGATGGCGTTAACCGGTTCACGATGTGCATCATCATCAATGTTTTTATAGTTAAAGCTCAGTTGTCCAATTCCCAAATTATTAAACCAAATACTAGTAATCGATGACAACTTGATGCCCCTTTAGGCTTTGATGCCTTGTGCGGCTGCACGGGCTGCACGTGGCTAGGGCCGGCCCTGGTAGCCACCTAGTTATTTTATACTTTTGATGTTTATGGTTTTCACTTTCATACATCTAGGAAGCTGACATCATCTGTTTCCTTATGACCTGACCATGTTTCCATTTCAGTTATTCCTCTATTTGTTTGTCTTACTGACCAGGAGATAAATTCTCATTTTATTGGTTTTACATGCTAAAGTATTAGATAGGAGACCATGATAGTTGGTTGTTAGTGGGATAGATACGTAGTTCAACTGCTAGATTTCACTTTCTGCAGTAGTAAATCCATGGTCAACTAGAGTATCCCTCATGTTCCCAAAGATGCTTTGAACTCCAATAAATAAACTTCAATTCATGTCCCAATAAGGGGCATGTATTTGGGATAGAGGGTTGCTATCTCCTCTTTGGACTCCAATAAATAAACTTCAATTCATGTCCCATACATAACAGCTGAATGATTTTTGCTCGATTATCACAACTTATATACATGGTATAATCTATGTTTGAACTTCATAATGGTTCTTAATGTCAACATCTATACCTACTCAACTGCAGTGTCCATATTCTTCACATAGAAGATTATCTAATTAATCTGATGTATAATTATCAAATTACTTTTTCTTTGTCCATATTTTGAGCTAGGCTATCTGCTACTGTAAGTCTGGCAGCAACCAATATCTTCCTAAAGACTCCACAGAATGCCTCTCCATCTTTAGCATTTCTTAAGAAGCAGAGCTGTACCTCTCTTTAGTCATCAAAACTTCAAAATTTTGTCATGGCATAGTTAAGGCGGGTGATCCACTTATATCGGGTGGTGTTATCAGCACATATAAGAGTTCAAGGGGAGCAAACACAAAATAATAATGATCCCTTGCTATATACTGAGTACTAACTGCCCATACGATATTTTGTTCTAAAGATTTAACATCGTATGTATCCTTTCGGTTTCGTTCTCAGTTCATAAAGGTTACGAAGTGGTTGCTGAAATAATTTTTTTACTGTGACTTAAACATGGTGCATCTTTTTGCAGTGCCTACAGGGAAGCTTGTTTAAGAGTAGAGAAGTCGTGTTCTGAACCGAAAATTCGACCAAGTTTGGAACCAGCATCTTCTAGGTAAAGTGAATGATGACCTCGAACTGGTTCTTTGCTGAGTTGTAATGTACTCTCATTGCTTGGTGTCTTATTGTCCTTATTGTCATTGACTTTTTGTATGACAACTGTTCTCTTATATTTCTCATAAATTCTTAAGGGATGTTATGCTTAACGAGTTCGCTGTCAGGCTCCATATTCTTCTTGACTTTTTGTATGAGAACTGTTGCTTGGGTACATGTGTTTTGAATCTCAAATCTTGCTGATGCTTAATTCAGGAAGTTGTCAAAATCTAATACTCACAAGGAGCTTGTGTTTGTGTACATGACCAAGTTCCTGATGGTTTTCCCATCCATGTACTTCTAATATGTCAATTTTATCATCTTTCTACAAGCTCACCTTTTCCAACACAAGTGGACAATAAAGAATTCTTTAGTTCGAGATATGAATCATTGAATAGGATATGGTACCGTACTACTTGTGGTAAAAGAGGACATGGCTTTGAATATGGTACCGGTAATGTAATGGGATGCTAAGCCCAGATCTTGTAGTCTTCTTCATCTGTACTCTTTTAGGGGGACGGCTTGGAGCAACTACTAAGGTTACTCTCTGTAACCTTAATTCACCAACTCAAATAATGGAAACAGCCTATCTAAAATGCAAGGGAAAGACTCTGCAAAGCCTCTCCCCCGAACCTTGCAAGCTCGAGGAGCCTTGTGGCACCACAATCACCCTTTATCTATACTCTTTTCTTTCCTTTCTAGCCACTTATTTTTTCTGCTAACACTGTCCCATCTTCAGTTTTTATCATGCTCTCTTTTAGCATTCACTAGCATCTCTCTCACACTGTCGCTATTTTTGTGGGCGTGAGACCTTAAAATGGCAATAATTCTGGCCAACTCATGTCAGCTGATCGTAGGATGTAATGTTTCTAGTTGGTAATATCATTACCTGTACTATATCCCCAACTTGCTTTCTCAGTTTTCTGGCCCCTGAAACAAAGACATAGTAAACTGGACTTCAAACACCTGATATTGAGGGTGGCTTGTTTCAGCATTGTTTTGTAAATGCTATGAAGCAGTGAAACAATGTTGAGGTTCATTGTATTTGACAAGGGAACATTGTTTTATCATTGCACTCTAATTCTTAGCACATCATTTCTTGCAGCGTGATGGGCCGGGATATTGCTAGCCTACGCATTGATAAGAAGCCCAATGTTGGTAACGTGAATTCTAATGGTGTCATTCGTGGTACGAATCACGCTTCTCCAAAACATTCAGGAGAAAGTGTTAAAGTAAGAAAAAGTGAGGCTGAGGATGGGACTATAGAAGGGTCGCATGTTGAAAGAAGTCCTGAGAAGCAACATGCGGTAGCTGTTAAAAGCACCAATCATGAAACTGGTTCTCCTGAGGGCATAACGCAAAAACCTGAACCTTCGAAATCACGTGAGAAAATTATAAGCTCTCCTGTTAGCGCAGCATCAGGGTCTGCCTCTGTTGAAGAAAACATTGCCCCTGGTCTGCATGCATCATCAAACATCAGTAATTTTCATTCCCCTACAAACACAAAGCAATCACAGGTAAGCATACACTCAAAAGATTGTATTGATGATGCTTTCCTTTAATTTCTAGATCCAGAATCCTTTCTCCATTATAATTCTCGACTTGTCTGTGCATAGTGACCCAAGTTTTTCTTTGTGGGGGATGAGGTTTTAATGATAATAGTTGAATTCCTTACCTTTGTGAAATTTGTCTACTCTACACTTATAATTTATAAATAGGAAGGGATTAAGCATTTTATATTTCTTATTATTTGTCATTGCTGTGGATTTGCTTTAGGAGGAGTTATATTGCCATTTTGTTATCATTTGTGCATGTCATTCTCAGTCTGCACTTAGTATTGTTTTTCTTGCCAAACCAGTTCAAATTATAGATCACCTTTCAAACATGGGTATTATTTGAAGAAGCATATCGATGCTACTCACAATGCTATAACAATAATGGTGTTCATTGAGTTATCAAGAATTAACTTTGCTGAAGGAGTACGAGCTTCTGAGATGAATTCTACATTTTAGCCTACATCCCATCACAGATTCGCAGTCGTACATAACATGGGGAAATTCATGTAATATAGGATTAGGTCATGACAATGCTGAACAAAGTGTCATCAGATGTGTGAATCAGAAAGTGATGCTTGAAATTCAGTTCTTATAGGAGGAAAAGGGGGAGGGGAGTATAAAAACACTATTATAGACTTCCATGGACAATAGAGTATGTATACAAGACATGTTCCACAGGACTAAAGAAGAAAGAAGGCACCTCATATAAGCATAGTGAGATTTGGGTCTCTCTCAAACAAGAGTGCTTTTATAAAAAGGAAAGGAATAACATGCGTTTTATCCCAGCCTGGTGTGGTAGGTTACAAGGAAAACCATTAGCAATTGTAGAAAATGCAACCACTATAGGGCTCTGATACATGTATAGCATCCTTCCATCTCTTACATCCAAGGAAACACAGTAGAATTGTTATTCATTAGAAAGAATCCGGACATGGATGCACACATTGAAATAAACGTCATACAAACAAGTGTCACGTAAATTTGACAGGCTTGCTGCTCTATTCTTACTTTCACTCACTTCTTCCTTGTTTTGGTTTTCATGCTAAATCCCATGAAATCGATTGGCTTACATAACTCTTCTATCCTTTTTTCTCCCTACTTTTTTTAGCCCAACACTGACCCACAGTCATGCAATAATCAAAAGTCAAATGCTCAAAGGGAATTGCACCCATCACGATTAAGCTGAGATAGGGAAGATTAAGGTGGTTTGGACATGTACGCAGGAGGCAGATTATGGTAGTGGTGAGAAGGGTAGAGAGTATGATGGTTGGGGGAGTGAGGAGGAGGGGCAGGCAGGCCGTGGGATGAGCAGTTGTTGATGGACATGACAACCATTCCGAGAGATGACCTTTTACAGGAGCTCTTGGAGATGCAAGATTAAGCTAGCATATTATGCGTAAGGATCTGTAGCATGTAAGGGAGGAAGGGAGTTTGTAGACGATAGAGGGTGAGACAGGGAGAGGGGTAGCGCAGTGGCAGTTAGGTTACTAGGGCCTTATGTCCGATAGAGGGTTGTCTTAGGTTTCCCTATCTTTCTTGTCTACTATTGTATCTACTGTGCCATCTTTTTGTTGTACACCGGTGTTGGTTCTTCTTCATGCACTAGTAGTTGTTAATATTGCTTTCTGTGTTTTCCTTGTTTGTTCAACCTATTTCCCTCACATTGAGAAATTTCACACCAACTTTCTTTGTAAGGCCTATCCTATACCTTCTCTAATCAAAGTTCTTATACAAATTTCCTGTTTTCATGAATGCATCCAGAGGCTATGTTGGAGATGGCAAATCGTCCAAATTGGTTCTCTTTCTTTTTCTTGATCAGCAGCACCTCAAGCTTGTATCACATACCATCCCATCATTGGCCACACATCCACCTTGCACAAGATTCTTGATGCATGTTGCCACTTCAATCATCTTGATCTTATCTTATAGAGGAATATATTAAACCTGAAGGCTTTGAAATAAGCAAACATTGTGATACACTGCATCCATCCCAAAATAAATGTGTTCCTTTGATATAACAGGGTTATGTAGGAGGTGTGGTTGATCGAAAAAGTTATTTGACAAAGCTATATGTTTCCAATTTTTATGCTCATTAACTAACAAAAAGATCATAGCTTTTCCTAAAGTGAAGTCTGGGGAGATGTGAAGTTGTGGAGCCTATCAAATCGACTGTAACACTTCCCTACTCTGTCTGCACCCAATGCACTCAACAACGATAAAGAGGACACAATTGGGACATAATTTTCATGTAGATGCTTCATGCTTATCGGTGGACATTCTATAGTGGACAAGAGGCCAGTTATATTAGCCTGGAGGGTGTAAAACTTTTTGTAGGTATATATATATGTGTGTTTTGGAGTTTTTGCAACAATATTCCCAGAAAATACCTTTTCTCTAGAACTTCCGTGTACAATTACCACACGCTTTGGGAGCAGATGCATACTTTAATCTTAGGTTATGACCAACAGAATTTCTTACATCTGACATGTTGATTCAATTGTTGATCCGAAACGAATACTAACATGAGGAATTTTGCAATAATTGAACAGCGGAACTATCCTTTCTCCACACCAAGGCCACAAAAATCTGATACAAATAAATATCGTGATGAGGAAGATAACTGGTCTCTGGCTTCATCGTATCCTTTTCTGATATGTTTTTTCTCTTAATAATTAGTTCTAATGTTTAACCAATTTAATGTGTAAAATATGTTCATTGTATATGCGTATTATCCTTAGCAATGTACAGTGCTGCAACCTCTGTACGAACAGTGAAATCACGAGTAACAGTTGGAGTAGCTCCCTCCTTTAGAAGTGCTCAACGTGCTGCACAACGGAAGGAGGTAATTTCCTATTACAGATATGATCTTCTGAAGAGCACCCATCTAATGTTTATCAATTCACGGGTTTGAATCCTATTTCATTTTCTGAATTGAAAGAGCATCGTGGGTGTCGTTTTCCATCTCTTTTTATCTCTATTAGATCATTTTGTTCATGCTTTTCTTCCAGTTCTATACAAAGCTGGAGCAAAAGCACCAGGCTCTCAAGGCAGAGAAGATGGAGTATGAAGCGAGGACCAAGGTACATTGCAATACTGTCGACCTACTGCTATATATTGGCTCTATTCTTGTAGTATATGATGTTGACCTTGTTACCGGTCCATCACTCGCCGCTCTACCCTTTGGCTAGAGATCGAGTCCTTGTACATCTTACCCTCCCCATACCCACTCTCAGGTGGGATATGTAGGGCTGGTTTATTGATAAGATCGATCTAGGGCTCTCTTTTGTAAACTGTTGCCAAATGGTAATCATAGGAGGAGCAAGAAGAAGCTATAAAGCAGCTCAGAAAGAGCATGGTTGTTAAAGCAAACCCCGTTCCCAGCTTTTACCGTCAAGGACCTCCACCAAAGGCTGAACTCAAAAAGGTATTTTCTTCTCTCAATCTGCTGTTATTCTATGGATTTCGAGATAAATAGAGTAGAGTGGATTGATGTAACACCCCAAAGCCCAAAGCAACGAACTAGCCCAATAACTTCGAATCCAACTTAAAACCATGGTGGAAGTTATTGATAGCCCGCTACTTGAGACTTATAAGGAGCTAACAATTCTCATATTCTATCAATGTGGGATGAGTTGTTACAAACTACCCCACTTAAACTCCTGACGTCCTCTCAGGCTATCCAGAATCTTCCTCCATCGGCAATGTGGGATTTGCCTAAGATGTTACAAACACCCCCTCTTGAGGACTCATCATACCCGATGAGGTTTGCCCCGAGTTGTTACAAACTACCCCACTTAAACTCCTGACGTCCTCGTCAGGCTATCCAGAATCTTCCTCCTTGTCATCGGCAACGTGGGATTTGCCTAAGATGTTACAAACACCCCCTCTTGAGGACTCATCATACCCGATGAGGTTTGCCCCACCATCCCGATGGTACAAGGATCGGCTCTGATACCATTTGTAACACCCCAAAGCCCAAAGCAACGAACTAGCCCAATAACTTTGAATCCAACTTAAAACCATGTGGAAGTTATTGATAGTGCTTTACTTGAGACTTATAAGGAGCTAACAATTCTCACATTCTATCAATGTGGGACGAGTTGTTACAATTGAATAGTAGCTAGGTTGGCAAAGAGGCGGGGCAACTTTGTCCAAATACAAGACAGGTCCCGGATTCGATCCCGCTCCCCACGCTAGCCTAAGGCGCTGAGTGAGCCAAAAAAGACCCCCTCACACTGGTGTACTTGGAGGTGGGTTCCGTGTGGGGCCGGTTGGGGTTGCCGGTAATCAACTTTTGGCCCAAATAGTAGCTAGGGGTCAATACATGTGGCTTGGCCTCTTAGGTATGATTCACAAAGGAAGCTAGGAAAAACAATTTAGGTTGGGCAAATGTAGAAATTCTAAACCCAATATAAACAATAAAACATGGGTTGTGGTTTACTTCTTTCTTGAAACTTTGGAACATACACTTCCTGATACAAGATGAATCTCGAACCCACCGTCATTGGTTCAAAAGTCTCGATTACTATCAATTGGGGCAAAGACCACCTGTTAGATTGTGGTTTACTTAAACTATGCTGTTGCAGGATGCCTAAAGAGCAAGGATTTAGATACAAATTTATATGAGGAGTCATGCGAGTTTATATTAAATAATTTTTTTATTATGTAACAATCTTTCTTTCTGTACAAATGTTTATGTTATAACTATAAGTTTATAAAATTTACACTTGAATCTTTGAATCTATGCATGGGTTTCGTTGTTGTTTGCAGAAATGTTGGTTATTGAGTCGATTTGAGTATTTGGTGAAGAAATATTTGTTTGACCATTGTGCTATTAAGTTATTTTTGGTTCTGCTACTAAATTTATTATCTGACCACCGTTTGTTCCGATTACATTTCTCCCATTGGTCTTATTTCCATCCAGAAGATGTTCTCCAGCAAACGAGTGTTAATGTTACAGTAGCGAGTCAAATTGGTCAAAGTTACTTTTATTATGGTCAGAAAACAGATTGCTGGCAAAGAGGTCGAAACATATGGTACCGTGGTCAAATAAATAATTGTAATATAATAATGATCAAAGCTTACTGTATGCCATAATACAAGAACCAAACAAAGATCATTTTCTCAATATTATAGAATATGCAATGTTAACTGCCACTCCACTCTGAAGGTTAGAGGTTCAGTCTACATACATTTTACCCCTCAGATCCTACTTTTGAGTGAGACTTACTGGGTGTGAGAGATCAGGTATGCATACATCTTAACCTCATACCCTATTTTCAAGTGGGACATACCGTGTGTCTTTAGAGGTTTGGGTTACGTACATCTTACCTGCATACCGTACTTCCAAGTGGAACATAACGGGTGTGTTTAGAGGTTAGGCCTGCATATATCTTACCAGTTACCCCCAAGACCCTACTTTTGAATGAGATAGGAAAGGTGTGTTTGTACATCTTACCCCTCGAGACCCTATTTCCGAGTAAGATATATTGGGTATGTTTAGAATCATATTGTAAATTTTATTAAACTTATACAAATATGGTTGTTTACTTGGTTGGCTGGCAGCTGCCATTGACCCGTGCCAAATCCCCCAAGTTATCACGGAGAAAGAGTTGTGGTGATACGACGCATTCTTCCGTTGATGAGAAAGCTCTTTGTTCACGGGTGCGTCATAGCTTAGGCGCTTATAAACCTGGGAGCGTTGCTTCAAGTCCGATCAAGCAGAACATCAATGGCATTAACAAAGCCAAGGACCGCACCACCAACGAGACTCCGAAAGCTTCGCCTCATAAATTGACCAACGAGACAAAAGACATCACGGTTCAGTCATGACTCAGGTAACTTACATTTAATTGAAAAAATCCCGAATTTCACTGTATTTTCGGTAAGTGAAGTTGTCGTCGTGGTTTCTGTAACACTTTGTACCCATATGTTTCTGCTTGTAATAGTACATATCATATTAGATAGAGAGAGAGAGACAACAAATGTAAACGATTTTCGTTCTAATTTTCGTCACACTTGTTTCTTCTCCCCTCACTTTGCCTCAGCAGTAGGATGGTACGAATCCTGAAAGGAGGTCACGGACGCTGCCACTTCCTGCTGCTGACTCACACCTGATTGTGGTGGAGAAATCCCACAGGTGGTGTATATATATGATATGGACCAGTTTTACTGGTTCGTTGACTAGCGGGTGAGTGCCCCTGCCCCATGATATTTTAAAAAAGTCGGTTCTAACCGCTTAACCTCAACTGGTCCCTTGATTGGCCCTTCGGTAACTGGACCAGTCATCTAAAAACATCGTATCTGACAACAGTGTTGTATGGGTAACACTGTCTGTGTAGATGAAGGCTTTCGCTTATAAAAAGTACCGGATCAATTCCCTTCTAAAACGTAATTCATGGGTTGGTTTAAGATTAAAAGTGATCGAGGTTTCAAATCAATTCTTACACTTGGGATCTTAATGCTAAATGGTCTTTTAAACAGTTGAGTATCACTTTTAAGACTCATCGCTAACAAGACGTGTATTTTAATTTGTGTTGTGGTTGCTTTAACATAAGCAAAATGATCTCAAGTATTTCAAAATATTTACCAACTTACCGAGTTTGAAGTAAATTAGATCATTTATCACTAATTATGTTTATAAGTCAAACTACATGAAACACCTCTTAAAAATGACGATACTTTTGGGGAGTTCGTGAGTATAACAAAAAACAGTGACAGTTTTAAATTTTTGTACTGGTTTTGGTAGGACTCTTTACCTTTTAAACTTAGAGAATTGTAATTGGTTCTATATTAATGTTGAGAATACTCTCTATTAAATAGAAATTATTTTTGTAAATAAATGGTGGACGGTTACAAAAAGGTAGTTATCAAAACTGATGAAATATCCATTTGGAGGCTAAAGCATCATCGGCTAGTTGAACGTTAAAGCATCATTAGTTGGTTGAGCTCTTAAGGGTAATTGGTTAGTTGAATGTTAGTGGCAAATCATCATCTAGCTGATGAAAACCCGTCTAGGCAACATCATCATCTGGTTGGATGCAGAAGCATCATTAGTTAGTTTAAACATTGAAACATCATCAACTAGCTAATGTCAGTGGCAAACCATCGGCTAGTAGAAACCTTAATGGCAAACCATCAACTAGCTCAGTTTTAGCCAATGTCAGTGGCGAACCATCGGCTAGTTGGCTGATCAACGAGAGCACACTGGAACCCCACAAGGAGGCGCGTCCTCGTCACCCCCTCCCCCAACCGCCATATGGCACCATCCAATGATCCCGACTTCTAGTTAGCTTACATGAGTATGGACTCCATACCTCATAGCTTGTGTTATAGTTTAACTAACGACCTGATATTATCTTCTGAATCCAATTACATGAAATAGACCAATTATTTCACTAAAGTACTCAATAGATATTGTAATAGAATAAATGAAACCGAAAACCACACATCTTTTCTCATCAACAATAAACCCTAAATATAAGGAAGATCACATGAAGATAACCATGAACGGATTACATCGATAACCATGGAAGGAATTCACTCTAAACATAACTCTAAAAGTTCATTTTCTTATCGTTATATCTTTTCTATGATGACATATTTATCCTTCAACACTCCACTTTGACCAAGTTAAATAATTGATAATGCACAATTGTTGTCTGGCTAAAACTTTCTGCAAAAGAAACAAACCAGGCAAGAAAAATAAAAATTGCAGACGAAGAAAAGAGTATAATAGACCAGTAAACTATTCCTTTTAGTTTACTATCCTCCTTGATTCGTACATCAATCACGGAGATTTAGAAAATAAGATGGTGTATAAACTGTTGTCTCACTATAACCTTACACCAAGGAATAATACCTGGTTGGAAAAAGATAGAACCTCGGAGGAAGAAAAAGAAAAACACAACCTCTCAATATTACATGTGTAGTAGACACCCTTTTTTTCTCTATCGCTCTCCCTGATTCGTATAAGGTTAGAAAGTCTTCGGATTCAATATTTTCTACATATTTCTTAAATGTGGCTTTAGGTAATGATTTGATAAACAAAGCTGACACATTTTCGTCAGTCCTTACTTGATTTACTTGAATTTTGAGGAGAGTTTGTTATTGCTGATATTTATAGAACTTCCATGAAATACATTATGTATTATCACCATTGATGTATCTAACCTTTCATTTCTTTCATATAAGTTGCATTATCTCCATATATGCAGGTTATATAGTGGCTGAACTCAAGCCACTAGCTCATCTAATATATTTAATGATAGTCCTTAACCATATGCATTATCAATTGCCTCGAGCAATAATCTATGGATGGTTCAAGAAAGTAGCTACAAGTGTTTGCTTGGTTGAATTTGAATCAATCATCGTTTTCCCCATGGTGAATCCTTACTAGTTTGGGAACGACATTTTTGTGAGTTAGAGATAATACCTAATATCAACAAAACGGTGTTTTGTATAAGGGGTTGATACTCATATCTTATGTAGGCACTGAAATCCCATTATCAATTTTGTTTTTATCTTTGTAGGGGAATAATAAGCATACAAAAGTCATAATTTTTTTTGTAAAACACTTTTACGATATTTACAGAGTTCCTTAAAACAATTTTAATAAACTCTTTTGGTTGGTTTTTATAAAATCACATTTTGTGTTCATAATTTGTTTAATAAATAGAGAAAAGTAAAAAAAAAAAAAAAAAACCCAATGGACTTTAGTTTTTGGAATGATTAAGTCATTAGACAATTTTTTAGAACGACTAAGTCCTTTAACATTTCAAAACATGTTAAATAACTTCTTAGAGTTTTTAAAACCTGTTAGATATATCCTTATTACCTATAAAACTGGTTAATGTGGTAAAATAATGAACAAAGTCTTAAAAAAACCCAATGAACTTTCATATTTTGAAGGATTAAGTCTAAACATATTTTGAACAAAAAAAGTCTTTACATCTATAAAATAAAACAAATATTACCAAAAACGTACTTACATTTATAAAAAAGTACTTACATTTAAAAAATGTTATTGATGAAATTTATTTTGATTAAAAATAAAAAAATATTTTGTCAATGATTTTTCAAATTAAAAATATAAAAAAGGATTTAAAAAAGATTGCTGGTTAAATTTATTTTAATTAAAATAATTATATTTCGTATATGATTTCTCAAATTAAAAATAATAATTAAAAAAAAAAGATTACTGATGATTTTTTTAATTAAAAATAAAATGCATTATGTTGATAATTTTTCAAATTAAAAAGTTAGAAAATAAATTGATTAAATTTACTGACGGATTATCAATAAAATTTAATCAAATACATGATTAATTAAAATTCGTCGCTAGTGTTCATTGGTATATATGTATGGATTACTTATATCTAATTGATGGCTAACTTGACCACCGCCAAACGCTCTAACACAGTAACATGTTAATAAGTGTGCAAATCCGTGCTTGAATCTTGTCGGTGATATTATTTCATCGACGGATTAGCGCGGAATTTTAATTAATTATGTATTTAGTTAAATTTTATCGTTAACCCATCGGTAATATAATCAAATTATTTTCTATTTTTTTAATTTGAAAAATCACCAATGGAATATATTTTATTTTTAATTAAAATAAGTTTCATCAGTAATCCTTTTTAAATCTTTTTTTATTCTTTT